GCGTAGTCCAGTTTGGGTCGAGTAAGGGCAAGATACAGTCGCCGCAGTGATACAAAGTCAGCTCCCCAGCGTCTCGCAGCAACGACGGCGAGGAGCCTGAGATCTGACTTGCAACGGATGATTAGGGCTTCGATGTGAGATTGCCAAGTGAGGTGTCGATCGAAGATGACTCCAAGAAATTTAACCTTTGTAGTGTATTGCAGTGGCAAGTTGGAGAAGTATAGTGGAGGTATCAGTTGTGGGCGGTTTCTGGTGAAGAGGACGGCTGATGTCTTGCTGGGGGAGACAGATAGGCCCCATTTGCTGCACCACTCCTCGATGCTGGTCAGGGCCGCCTGCATCCTCTCAGTGGCTACTGCCAGAGTGGGGTGAGAGGCCCAGAGTGCACCATCGTCTGCGTAAAGGGAGTATTTCACGCCAACTGGGACATTGTTGAAAATGTCGTTGATGAGGATAGAGAATAGTGTTGGGCTTATGACAGATCCTTGAGGCACTCCACTGTATAGGGGCTGTCTCTTATACACATCTAGATGTGTATAAGAGACAGGTTGCATAGTGTGTTTGGGGCAAGAAATGTTTCCTGTAGACATAGTACGTCTGGGCTGAGATCAGCTATTAATTTTTGTAAGTGAGGTAAGCGTGCTAGAAGTGACCTGACGTTCCATTGCAGTATTGTGAAGTTTAGCATGTGTGTGCGATGGATGAGTGCCCTATCAGTTTTAGTGACTCTGAGACTAGAGAGTCGGCTTGTAGGATTCGGCCAAGCTCAGTGATGCATTCTATCTTGTCTGTGAGTTGTGTGGCTAGGAGGAGGCGAATCATTAGTGGCAATAGTTTGATGAGAAGCTGTGTGAAGTCTAAGGCAATTGGTGTTGTATGAGTGGATGAGGTAGAGGTGGGGAGAGTTGTAGGCTGTGATTGTGAGGTTGGTGAAAGAGGAGTACACTGTGCAGACAGTGCAGGTAGAGTTTCTGGTTGGGAATCTGGGAGAATGGGTAGGTTAGAAAGTGGTGTGGCTGCATACAGGGGGGTGTGTTGTGTGCGTTTTCCTTGTGTGAGCCAGGTTGAGGTTTGAGTGCTACTTGCGTGAGGTTGAGAAGCAATAGTTGGCCAAGCAGCGGTAGTTGGAGGAGGTGGAGAGGAGGCACGATCGTTCATCATTAGTTGGGAGAGGCTTGGAAATGCTTGCTCAGAGTGTATGAGACGCACTGGTTGTGGTTGCTTCTTATAACTTGTTGGTGTGCTGGTTCGGTGGAGTGTGCTGTTGGGCTTCCGGCCATGTAAGTCTGGGCGAGCTTCCGTAGTGTTAGCGAGGCTGCCAGTATTGTTGGACTCTGTTCTTGCTTTAGCTCGTGCCTCAGGGAAGCTGAGTCCCTCATCGGTTGTGAGTTGGCACACTCAGAGCTCGGACTCGTAATATGGGCACTGACGTGAGGTTGCAGGATGTGGCCCTTTAGAGTTTATGCATTTGGGTGCAAGATGGGCGTTTGGACAGGCTTCTTGGGAGTGACCACTTTGGCTGCAGTGGGCACAGATGGGGCTCTGGCGTGAGCACCTAAGTTTGGAGTGGCCATAGCGGAGGCACTGCCCACAACAAAGTGGGCTTGGGTAGTACTTATCTACTGTGTATGGGCAGTAGCCAACTCGTATTTCTTTTGGGGGTGAGGGGCTGAGGAAGGTAAGGACATATAAAGGGACGGAGGATTTTTTGGGGTCACTTAGAAGCTAGCGGATCCCAACTACTTTATCTTCTTTGAGAATGGTCAGTAGAAAGTCTAAGGATTCATCTTGAAGTTCTGGTGCAAATATTTTTCTGTAGGAGAACAGAGAACTGGGTTGACCAAGCAATTGTTCCGGTCACTGGGTATGATTCTTCACCAATCTTCAGGATTTTGGCATCCAGCAAAATGTGTACCTGTTCTAATGTCTTGGTGGTTGTTAGCAGGGCACCTGAGCGCTGATGTTCCACACTTTGGACTGGCCCACACACACACAGTGCGTCCATAGCTTTGGCTATTCTGAATGGGTTCAGACGAGATAGTTTAGTCTGGGCGTCTGAGCTGGTGAGAACAACTTGGCGGGTGCTTTGGGGCAGGTTGTGTGCATTTTCCGCTGAGTTGAGGTCTATCCTTGCGCTTGAGGCTTCTGTAGTCTTTTTGAGTGGTTCATTAGTGCTTTTAGTGGTGCTCATGCTGTCTTTGGATGCTTCATTGAGTAGGGCTTGGTGAGAGTTTGAGTGGGAGGCAGGAGAATGAGGAAGGCTTTCACACGAGTCAGACAGCACCCCACTAATAATTGAAGAGGCATCTTCGTGAGCAAGGTCGACCTTGGAAGCTGTTAGGTTTTGCTCCTTGGCTGGAGCATTTTTCTTGGGCTTGGAGGCATTATTAGGCGAAAGGCTGCGCTTCTTGGTAGAAGAACTTAAGAAGAAGGGGCAGGCTCAGGCTGTGTGGCTGAGCGGCGGTAAGGCTTAGACTTATGGTGCAAAGTCTGGCTTGGCGTTTCTACCATTTCCAAAGGGTTAGCCCGGGCCGTGGGCGCCGTATTGCGCCCTCGGCTTGGCCCCATGGTATGATTTAATGTGGTTCAAAAGGGCTCAAAGTACCTCGTATACTTTAGAATAATGTAAGTGGGTATGTCACTGGAGTGACTGGACACAACACGTAGCCTATATGGTGCTTTGAGCGAAGGAGCGTTTTAGTAACAACCACACTGTATCACAGGGGTTCCTTGCTTGATCCTTAGGGTAGCTGACCTATAAAAAGTAGCCCCCGGCCCCCCACAGTTCGAACGAGACTGGGGACGGACAAGGAGGACGACGTCAGCCCAAACCTTAAGCTAAAGTGCGGAATGCGGATTTGAAATCGACTTGCCGGTATACGACTCCCATGTTTGAACTTGAAAGGATTTGGATATATAATATATATCTATATATAGGCGAAAGACAAGTGACAACTTGTGATGAAAAAAAAACGCAAAATTTGCGGTGCTCGAATGTTAGTGAAAGTTAAGAATACACATTATATCATTAACATTAATTAAATGAATAGAAATATTAATGAATGCTAGCTAGCTAGTTGTGTTACTTGTCGAATTCAGATAATACAATTTCCGTCAAACGCTACAGAATTTTTCGCATATTATTTTCAATGAAGTTTTATATTTTGCTAAATTTATTGAATATTAATTTCCTAAATTAACACGTTGACTACGATTGCTTCATCTTGTACTATTATTTTATTTTTTGTACTGTTTTAAAGAGGGTTGCCAGACGGTCATTTTTCCTGGACAAATTTCGTGATTTAGTCTTTCTCAATTGCGTTGGCCGGCTAAAATTTATGATAGGCACTTCCTAATTGAATTTTAAATACTGCAAAAGGAAAATAAATGGAATTTTTCTAGCGGAACCTACAATTAAATTAGTATATATTGAGTTATCGGCCGTTTTTGGCCTTTTTTGTTCTCGGATTTGGCCGATTTAAGGCAACCTGAATTATGTACAGGTAGGAATTATGTATTAGATACGTGAAGAGGAGGTTCTCAAGCGCCTGGTCTCCCTGAATCCCAACAAGTCATCTGGATCAGACGGTTTCCACCCTAGATTGCTCAACGAATTAGCAACCGTCCTGGCCGGCCCTTTAACAGTATTTTTTCGAAAAACCTTAATCGAAGGGACTTTGCCGGCCGACTGGAAAGAAGCCCAAGTGACAAAGACTAGACAAGGCCATGCATGAGCATATGTTCAGTCTTAAAATGCCTCGTACCCTACGGAACAACTGATATCTTCCGTCCGTAAGGCCAGTCTAGTCAAGAAAAGTACAAGAATCGGCGACAGGCCTATCCAGGCCTATTTATTTAATGCCGAAGATACTATACTATACTATACTATACTATACTATGTACCACTACGTCCTGGAGAAATACATTTCGTGGTACGCATATGTACCACTTCGTAGTCAACGTGTTAACCGGAGTAATTCAGCGGTAGGGGAGGAGCCCAGTATCCGGGTTTCCAAGCAGGGCGACGCGGATTATAAGGCCGATTTTGACAGACGGCCTGGATGGAGCATGGAGGCGGTGAAGTTAGATAGTTTAAAGAGGATTTTCCAGCTTCAGAGACCATAAAATTAAGCTTAACCATCATATTTTCTAGGATTTTTTGTTGGTGATTCAAAACACGCAACGACTGAAAATTTTGGTTGAAATCGTCAAGGAATTTTTATTTTGGATACATTGCGTGGTGACTGAAAGCAGCCAGGCAACACATACTCACATATTAAGTTGACGTTACATTGTCATTGTGAGTATATGTGTATACGTAGCACAGTTGTCATTGTGAGTAAATGTGTGTACGTAGCACAGTTGTCATTGTGAGTATATGTGTGTACGTAGCACAGTTGTCATTGTGAGTAAATGTGTGTACGTAGCACAAGTACACACACGTAATTATGGGAACTAAGGCGCGTTTACGTTGAAGGTCTTGCTAGGGGGAAATACTTACTGTTCTCTATTATTGTCATGTAACTTCTCATGTATTGTAATATAATTTGGAGCAGCTGTTTTAATTTTGATACAATGTCATGGGTCATATTATTATTGTTATTGTATGTGGGTACACGTTTATTATTATTGTTATATTATCATTATTAATATCGTCCTTTTTCTATAATCTTCTCAGCTCCCTACCCTCATGCGCCAAATTCTTGCTTCCTTCCTCCACATTCTCCAATTAGAACACCGCCTTCCGAACGTCGTCCAAATATCGGTAACATTTCGGTTTCTACTTGTTAATAATACTGAGGAGTTAGAGAATCCACATAAAGAGAATACCGAAGTATTAACTTATTAAAACTCTTGATTTGATCTACAATACCAATATTGCATGAAAATATAGTTCGTTGAGCTTAGGTTGATCTTGGACACAATCGATGCAACAGTAAGTCGTGAGCTCGATGTTGACCTCCGGACCAATTATTGAAATATGGTCAGTGTGCCAGAGGCTGCCGTCGAGAAAAGAGTGCGTCAAAGAGACAACATTCAACATGGAGGTCGAAAACAGGGTTTGTATTACAGATTATATTAGAGGTTCTCTGATTAATTAAGTGCAGGCTGTGACCGGCTGTCTTTTTTTCGATCGCTCCCCATATGTTCATGAAAGGACAGATTTTTTCGAAATATTTGGCTTATTACAGGTTCCATGGATGACGTCTTAAGACCTCACGATCCCTGGCACATTTAGGTATAGTAAGAAATTTTATTATAAACTAATATTGCACGCTTTCCATACGGAAACAATCGCGCCCCACGCACCTGTAAAGTAAATGTGCTCAGTAGTACGGTAATTTGAAGTTCATGCAGATAGTAATAGGAATGCAAGAATATGAATCCATAGAACGTTTGAATCTTAATATTGTAGCCTCTGCCGAACAAAAAAAACTTCGTACTAGTCCTTTAATCCTTGAATATAAACAAAATCTCTAGAAAAGAAAACATTTATATAGAAGAAATCCAGAGATCGCTCCTTGCGTGGCTTAATTGGCACAAGATCACGCGGTGAACCGTGCATACGGACCAGCCCCGACCCATGCATACGGGCCGGTTTTGAACGGCGCATGCGGTTGAATAATTGTTCCGTATTATCATAAATAATCAAATAACTAGGCATAGAGCAGCTTTTTATATAATTTGCATGCACAGGAAATGCAAACGAAAAGCATAACTTAATTCAGTCTAATCAAATCTGTACAGGAAATCAAGCTGTTATATCTCTATAGAGCTTGCGTACTGACGAATGTTCCCACTTAATGTTAAAATAATTGCTGTTATAAAAATATACTGCGGCGGATGATCGTATGACGTGCAAAAGGTTTTTTGAGCCACTCACGAACAATCAGAGGCCAAACTATCAAAAAGTTACGAGTTCGTAATTCTGTCAGCCAATCACTGATGGCTTTTCAAAATAAACCAACCTATCACAAACCATAGATTACCCGCTGCGTGTTCTTAGACTAATAATTGGTGTAATTCAGCATAGGCCTTTCTTTTAAGAAAGGTTGATTGAAAACCAGAGCATGCTTATTATTAGCAATCTTCTTGTTTTTTTTTTTTCAATGAGCCGAACAAAATTTCTTGCTAGTGCCGGGAGATAAAAAAAACCGGTTACCAAATGATATTTTAATGGAATGCGCCGTTTCGAATATATAATATTCATTATCAAGCAGGTGAAGGCTTCTGCAACACAACTGAAATTGAACTTTTGGATATAACAGAAGTACAAATCAAGGGTATTGTGAATACTATTTGAGATCTAAGCTTAAATTTAATCTGAAAATAATTTCAGCATCTGGATGAATCCTGTCGTTTAGAGGCTGAAAGCTGGAGACCCGCTCATGATAATGAGAGCCTCAGCTCTTGATAATAAGGGCCTCAGCTATCATCAGTCTCGATGGGTCAGGGCACCGCATAACTATGCTGGTGCAGGCCTCCAATGTCGCTCGGGTGATGGTCTCATTGTGAGCTTCCTGCATGTGGTCCTTAGGTCCTCCAGATTGTAGATGGCATGTGAGTCGGCGGCGTAGTTTATATTTTGAAGAAGTCTACATCCTTCTACATTACATGAATATTTATAAATAACATTAGTTTCATGAAGCAGTCCAGATATATACAGGGATTGTTATTCATGACAAAGTTTTCAATTTTCTGATTTTTGTAGTACATCAGAAGTTTTATCTTTGCCGTTATGCGTTGTGCTCTTGATATTATTATGAATGATTGACTGATGGACCGTTAATCTACTATGTAGCCTCTGTTCATCATATTGATTCGGTTTCCTCTCGATCGATAATATGATATTTCAGTGTCAACTGTTCTATTTAAAAACATTATTTACTGATATTCTTTAAACGTTCTGAGTTCAGTTTTTGAAAAACTCTCGGATGTGCAGGTCTTGAATGCTCTTGTAAGAGAGCGCGCACAGTGCTGGTTTTATAGCGTTGGGGGCTTTCACTTTCTTCGTTTAGTATTTATGCGTTATATTTAGCACTTAGCACTTATAATAATGCGGTGCCCCGACCCATCGAGACTGGCGATGCTGAGGCACTCATAATCAAAAGCGACTTTCTAGCTATCAACCTCCAAACTACAGGATTCGTCTGGACGCTGAAATTATTTTCAGAGTAATTTGAAGCTTAGATTTCAAACAGCTGTATCCGTAATGCCCTTGAAATTGTACTACTACTATCATTTCCAAAAGTTCAATTTCAAGTGTTGCAACACCCTTCACCTGCTTGATAATGAATATGGTATATTTGAAACGCTGCATTCCATGAAAATGTTTTTTGATAATCTGCTTTTTGATCTCTTGGCACCAGTTAGAAATTTTCTTCGACTCGTAGAAAAAAACAAAAAAGAAGATTCTTTACAAAAAGCATGCTCTGGTCTTCAATCAAACATAGACCAATAAATGTACTTTAGTGAGTTTTGAAAGTATGATCCTGGTCTTTTTGCACTTGGCCACATTCCACGAACGAACAGCACGCATTGACGCAATGGAATTTATTACTAATCAATCCTCCGTTACCCTGAAAGTCGCCACAACAAAAAAGAATGTGGTCAGGCCCAACACCAGCCCTCTGTAATTAGTGTTATAATTTTTTAACAAAATAACATTTGAAAATGAAACTTTGATCGTGATATGAGCGCACGATGTTAAAAGAGTTACATTTTAGAAATCCATGCATGAGATATGCAAAAAAATGACAAAAAAACGTTATACCGGCTATTTGGGGCGAGACAGACGATCAAAAGCAGTCCTTGTCTAAGCGGTTAGGATAAAACCTACCCTGATACATACAACTGTAAAACGCCTTTTATTTTTTACTGGCAGTAACGCATGTTTAATGCAGCACCGCATGGCTAAAGCTCTGCCGCATGTTTAATGCAGCATCGCATGGCTAAAGCTCTGCCGCATGTTTAATGCAGCATCGCATGGCTAAAACTGTGCCGCATGTTTAATGCAGCACCGCATGGCTAAAACTGTGCCGCATGTTTAATGCAGCATTGTGTGGCTAAAACTGTGCCGCATGTTTAATGCAGCATCGCATGGCTAAAACTCTGCCNTACCGCGTGTTTAATGCAGCATCGCATAGCTAATGCTGTACCGCGTGTTTAATGCAGCATCGCATAGCTAATGCTGTACCGCGTGTTTAATGCAGCATCGCATAGCTAATGCTGTATCGCGTGTTTAATGCAGCATCGCATAGCTAATGCTGTACCGCGTGTTTAATGCAGCATCGCATGGCGTTTGCACATTATCGCAGTCTGCCCTACATGCTTCCATGGAGACAGCGGCAAACGCGTATATGCTTTAATTGTTCATGTCGTTAACTTTCTAGTTAACTAAAATTGTTTCCCGTGAGCGCACAAATCGATCATCATGCATGCAATAATTATCTTATTTAAGAAAGTAGGAGATTAGCCAGCATTGTTAGAGATAAATTTTCAATTTGATTTGTGAATCCTTTTACTCTGAATAATGTGATCCTATGTCCAGTTTATAATTTCAAAACTTAATTTAGTTGAAGAGAGGACCATAAACTACTCAAATATCGCGCGGAGCATCCTTTGAAGTGACGCTTCTATATATTACGGAAGCTCGAACTTGTTATTCTATAATGTAATACACTTGTAAAAGTTAAAATTGCATTTAGCTTCTTTAATCAAACTCTTCCCGTCACAATTTTTCGATGTCTCGCGATTCCATCACTAAAAATAACATTCTATTTCACTTATTTATTCCAGCGCGAAAAGTATCGCGTTAAGTCTCTTTATCAGCCCCGATGTATATATGGCGCCTGGCTTCAAACAAACACACACAGCCAATAAATATTTCATGTAATTATTCGAATCTTGAAAAAACTCGGGTTATAGAGAAATTAACATAAATTAAGAAGCGTCACGTTATCCACCTGGTCCATAGTGACCCCGGAGCATCGATGGGGTAGTCAAGTGGCAGCAATCGATGCCATGCCTGAAGAACTTCTGTTGTGGCAACTGCATGGTAAACTGGGCGCACCTTAACTGATCTACACCTTAGCATCTGGCAAGTTCTAGAAGAACTGTTGTCTCAAGAACGAGGTTGCGTGAAAAAGAACTTTCGTCTTGTGTACGAGGTATTTTTGAGAATAAATGTCATCTCATGAAAGAGTTATATTTGAGAATATAACTGTTATCTCAGAACTAGTTATATTTGAGAATAACTGTTATCTCATGAACGAGTTATATTTGAGAATAACTGTTATCTCATGAACGAGTTATAATTGAGAATAACTGTTATCTCATGAACGAGTTATAATTGAGAATAACTGTTATCTCAGGAACGAGGTATGGATGAAGAAGAAATGTTACCTTATGAATGAGTTATAATTAAGAATAAATGTTGACTCATGAACGCGGTATGCATGGAGATATAGTGTAGCAATGTCGGCACTGAAGAATAAGCAAACTTTGGCCTGTCGCCGATTTATGTATTTTTCGTGAGTTGTTCACTATAGAGATCTTAAAACTTCCGTTTTAATCATACCTTATCATAACTGACGTTGATTTTAAATAGCTACTGGACTTTTACCAGGTCCGTATGGTAGCAGGCACTTAAAGTTTGGATTCTCTATTCATTTATTGTTAACACTAACCTCTAAAATTATTATCAAAACATTTTGTTAACTATATATGAGATATGTAAGGAGAAGAATGAAAAGATCACACGTTCTTTTACTGGTATAACTAAATCCCTCCCATTAGCTACTGAGAATTTAACAAAAAATATTTAGAAATATCTTTTAGGTGAAAATTTCCGTTTTAAACGCATCATTTCGTGTTTCACAAACATTTTCATTTGATAACATTCAGATTCACTTCCCACTGATTCTTCGAATATTTATCTGGTTTCATTGACACTATTTTATTGCATCACTATAATCAATTTTACCTTTCTTACTTTATCTTTTATCAAGAATAAACTTCGAAACTTATTTACCGTTCGAAGTTTATTTACCGTTCGAAATTTATTTACAGTTCGAAATTTATTTACCGTTCGAAGTTTATTTACCGTTCGAAGTTTACTTACAGTTCGAAGTTTATTTCTCGAAGTTTATCAACTTTTTACGCCTATTTTTGATGATAAATTTTTAACCCAATCTTTGAATGTAATGTTTCTGCAGGGCACAATAAAAGAAAAAGCAAACTTCGATGACGAGGCCGCGGCGAAGCGCTTCAAGCTCGCCATGAAGGGCCTGGGCAGCGACGAGGCCGCCATCATCAGCCTGCTGGTGTCCCACAGCTCCCTGCAGCGGCAGGCTATCGAGGAGAAATACAAGAAGATGTATGGCAGAGTAAGTCTGAAATTTAAATAACAAATTTGCTTTTTCTACTAATTAAATCACAATTTTTAAATTTTTAATTATCACACAATAATTTTTAATTATCACAATTTTTAGTCAGTCACAAAATTATGTAGTTTCAATATTACTAGCTGTAACTAGGGATTACAATTTCGTTTTTAAATTATTTATTTTGTTGTTCATAGAGGGCTCCAGGTATTTTACGTTAGCTTATTCGTGTGAAAGCTAACGCAATTTAATAATTTAAATGTTGGGATCAACTTAAACGGTAGATTTCATTTCATAAATGTATAATCACCTCAGTCGAGCAGCAATGAATCATTGATACGCTATTTACTAATATTTATCATCAAAATGGCTAATAATTATCCCCTTAATGGCTAGTAGTTACCCCACTAATTACTAATACAATCAATTAACTTATGCTATTCCGCAGCAATAGAGGAAAAAGAAACTAACTATTTCAGCTGATAGTTTTGACGTTTGGTTTTATACATAGTGATAATACATCAGTTTTTTTCTCAATGAATCATCACTGTAATTTTCCATATATTTTATATATTAGATATTATAGATATATATTATCTATAGATATTATATATTAGTATGATATTGTATAATTATTGATATTCTGTCCAACAGGACCTGGTTGATGACCTCAAGGACGAGCTGGGCGGTCACTTCGAAGACGCGGTCGTGGCGATGATGACGTCACCGTACAGCCTCTTGGTCGACGCTTTACATTCTGCACTCAGTGTATGTAATTGTGCTTAAAATAATTCATTTATTAGTTAACTAGTTTATTTGTCTAACGAATTAATAAAAAAATTCAGTACCAAACTAATTAGGAGAATTTGAATTTGTTTTATTATTATTATTTTTTTGAAAGGCTTTATACACATCTAGTACCGTGAATTCCGTCTGCTATTGCGTGGTTTTAAAATAATTTTAGTGCTTAGAAATTCTTAGCACGTGCAAAAAGCGGACGGTCGTAGCAATGATACGCCATTTTGCCGGACAAAACCGAGTCAGGAAGACCCACACTGGGATCATTGAGCTAATCGGACAGTCTAACGATTTTAGTCACTATTTTTTCCTTTAAAACATGCGGAACAATTGCTGTATGTTTTGGATCGAGACTTCAGTGCCCCTAACTGTGTTGGAAATCCTTTACAATGTTGGCCGGGCAATATGGTGTTTATGCGGTACGAGCAAAATTCGTTCACTTTTTCTAAAGTTCTTGTATCTTAGTAAAGTGCGAAGGTTTAGAGTTTAGACAATCCTTCTTAAGGTTGAGGAGATCCTACTCCCATTGAAATGAGCAGGACGCCGACGTATAGGATCCCATAGCAATCCTCGCACTCTCGTTCCGGTCCTGGCTTGTTCTTTTCTTCAATATTATTAGGAAGGAATCTGTTTCGTTAAACTGCGATCGAGATTTAAAATAAATCGACGGTGATTCATTTTGGCTCAATTTAAATATTAGATTCTATTTAAGTACGATCATAATTGAGAAAATTCAGTCAGATCAGATTTATATGATCGAACATTTAAAATTATTAGAAGTTTATCTGATAACACCGTTTCCAAAAGTGGAGCAATTGTCATGCTACCTCCAAGATATTTCCTCCATCACAACATATGTGATGTCCTGCTAATCTATTGCGTTTGAAAAGAGCTACGGCAAACTACGTTTTACAGCGGGATATTTGAAATCCGTATTATCGATCTAAAATTTCCTCTATTAAAAAAACTATTTTCATTAAGTACCTAACTGACTTTGTGAAACTCGTAACGAAAAAAAAATTTCACTATCACTGTTGATTGGCGTTGAAAAGCATTGCCTTTGAGAAATGTATAGATTTACCCTATAAATCCTGTTTTCAGTTCTCCAAATCCATATATTAAAACTAATATCTCAATTTAAAACTATTAATCGATAATTGGGTGTACTCGTTGTATGCATTTATGTTTTTTCACCTCACAATTTGTCTTCCTATTTTAAAACTCACATCCCTGTAAGGAGATTTAGTGTATATGTTATATAATTTATCTGTTATTGCGGTGAAATTAATATTGGTTCAATAAGCCAGTGTTATGCTTGTAATATTAGTAAACGTCAATTCTTCCAGGAATATTTATTTAAACATTTTTATTCATTTATTATTTTGATCATTTTTATTTTAAACACTTTTTTAAACATGGTGGTATTAACCTGCTCGATCTGATATGTCAGGGCGCCGGAACAGACGCAGATGTGCTGACGGAAATTCTGTGCTGTCGATCGACCGCAGACATTGAAAGTTTGAGCTGGTGGTATGAAAAACGTAAGTGAACGTCGAACTAAACTCATACTTCATAATATTTTAATGACTCATCATATTTTATGTGAGGATGAAAGTTATCCAATAACTGCGAAAAAAATGGATCGGCTTCATGTCTCCTGGACAAACTCTGTCATTGTAACGATTAAATTTTACGATATAATTAACGCATTTTTCTGCCTAATAATTTCCAATGCGAATTCTGCTTAGATTCGACTTCTAATTTTATGTCGATGTTATCGTTGTTTATGTGCTTTAAATTTGACATCGGGAGAACGGCTACAACTAATGTATTTTCTGGTATCTTATAAGTATTTTTAAATTGTTGTCAGTTCATTCGCTTCAAACCAAAACCAATCCAAACTTGTGTAGTTCACTATTATAAAAATGGTGTACATTTCGTGACACGAAGGATAAAATGAAATATGTTTAAAGTGTAACCATGCAGCTTCTTTAAAACCTTGACACAGCAATGAGGGCGCACCCCTTGACTCGTGTAACTCCGACGGTTCATAACTCCATCTCCCAATCAAAGCTAATTGTACAAACCTCTCCCAGCTAATCGTACCAATCACCGACAAGAAATCGTTGTATTTAGGCCGCTATGTGTACTACGTGTCTTTTGAATAGTTGTTCTTAGGCCACTATGTGTAGGACATAGGCCATGTACTACGTGTCTTTGAACAAATTTTGATAGTACGGCCTCTGACAAAGGCCAGGATTCGAATACCCAGCATTTGGAGGTTGATTTTGGGACGGAGCACCAACGTGGCTTGAGACATAATCGCTCTGAACTTAAAAGCATTTGAACTGGATTTCCATTGGACTTAAAAACACATGTCCCCTCATAGGGCATGGGCGCACGCTGGACGAGGCCCTCGAAGACGACCTCAATGGGGACTTCAGAGACCTGATGCGGGGCCTCGCGTCGGGCAGTAGGGAGGAGGAGGGCCCTACAGACAGCGCGAAGGCCAGGAAAGACGCCCAGGTGAGTCTGTCACCAGAGATTATAAGCAGAGCTGGGCAGCGCTACTTTGAAATGTAGCGGCCGCTACCGCTACCGCTACATGTTCTAAATGTAGCGGGCGCCACCGCTACCATTGCTTAATGTAGCGCCGCTACCGCTACCGCTACTGTAAATGTAGCGGCCGCTAGTAGGGCCGCTACATGTAGCGCGCTACTGCCCACTTCTGACTAACAACTAACATGTTGACACTAGTAACAGCATTTATAAGAAAAACATTATGAATTAAATTTAAGATCAATGGGAGGTTAATTTTTACTGATAACCAAATTTTGTATTTGTTTAGTACATTAATTTAAGTCAATAATGGAAATTTGACTCTTTTATGCTGAAAATGATGTCTGTGCTTTGAATAATGTATATCATGTTCAGTTGATGAAAGTAATGAAGTTTAAGGCCTATGTAAGACTAGTAATTCATCTCGAAGATATTTCCATATGATCTTAATTCTTTTATCCGTCTCTACATTTTTTTAACCAACTCTGGGATCTACGTTCTTTCTCTTCAAAATCTCTTTCCAGAAATTTCTTGAGAACCGAAGAGTTAGAGAAATTTGAGATGACCAAAAAAATTTCACGAGATGAATTGTGAAAGATCTTGGAGATAAAGAACATACATCCCAGAGATCGGTTAAAAATCCAATAAAGAATTATCTCTCATTTAACCTCCAGGATCTTTATGACGCCGGTATTGGGGCAAACGCCGGCAGCGAAGAGTCAGAATTCATCGCAATACTCAACACTCGCAGCTTCGCGCAGTTGAACCCCACGTTCCAGGAATATGAGAACATTTCGCAAGAAGCCATCGAAGAAAGTATCAAGAAGGAGTTCAGTGGTGACCTCATGGATGGCTTACTCTCCATTGGTAAACTTTTTCAGATATTCCTCGTTAGATTTTATTTTACAGTAATAATGACGAAGAAATATAAGAGACTCAAATTAATACGGCAATGATATATAGGAGACTCGAATCAATGGGGTACATTTTTAATTTTATTTTTTTACGTCAGTTATAGACTTATAGTATCTGACTACATTAACGTCATCCGTTCTAAGTCAGCGACTGTATGCTTTCCACGTGACGCCGAATAAATGATGTCTAGATATGTTAACGACTAATAACCATACACATTTTTGCATTCCGATCAGTAAAAAGTGAAAAAATTGTAGTGGACAACTCATAAACAATTATGAAGATCTTAATAGTGAAAAAATTGTAACTTTGAAATACAAACATTTAACTTTTCTGTTCGTCCGCGTTCCTAAACGTCCCGGTTTCAGTGAAACGCGTGCGCGATCCTCCGGGCTTCTTCGCCGAACGTCTGCACAACAGCATAGCGGGGTCAGGCACGGACGATAAGACGCTCATACGGCTCCTCGTATCCCGCTCTGAGGTGAGCCCCGCCCCTCATACGGCTCCTCGCATCCCGCTCTGAGGTGAGCCCCGCCCCTCATACGGCTCCTCGTATCCCGCTCAGAGGTGAGCCCCGCCGCTCATACGGCTCCTCGTATCCCGCTCTGAGGTAAGCCCCGCCTCTCATACGGCTCCTCGTATCCCACTCAGAGGTGAGCCCCACCCCTCATACGGCTCCTCGTATCCCACTCAGAGGTGAGCCCCACAACTCATACGGCTCCTCGTATCCCACTCATAGGTGAGCCCCGCCTCTCATACGGCTCCTCGTATCCCACTCAGAGGTGAGCCCCACCCCTCATACGGCTCCTCGTATCCCACTCAGAGGTGAGCCCCACCTCTCATACGGCTCCTCGTATCCCACTCAGAGGTGAGCCCCGCCTCTCATACGGCTCCCCGTATCCCGCTCATAGGTGATCCCATAAAATTTTGCTTCTAGGTTGACTTGGCTGACATCAAAGTTTGTTCTCAGGTTGACTTAGCTTACATCATAGTTTACCTTAAGTTGACATGGCCAACAGCAAAGTATGGTTGATTTGGCTGACATCAAAGTATGGTTTATTTGGCTGACATCATAGTTTGCTATCAGGTTGACTTGGCTGACATCAAGCCTCGCTACAAGGAGCTCTTCGGATCCGAGTTGTACGACGACGTGAAAGTCGACACGAGCGGCGACTACCAGAAGCTTTTGCTCGCCATCATCGGAAAATAAGACAACATCTGCACAAAATTTTAGCGATTGGCCATGCACCTTCTTCAATAAATGCTTATCTTTTTAACACAATAGGAACTTATAGCATAGATAATTTTGAAAAATAAGAACAGACATGCACCACACTCACAGGAAATAGTGAGATTTGGTCCAAATAGGGATGCACTTTTTGTTCGTGTGTGGGTCATCTTGATCTAGTTCGGTCCACCAAAATCAGTACCAGCGCTACGTGCAGAAAAGTACCTCACTATTTGAACACGGCGACGCACTTATTTTTCCGAGACCATGCTTGCTGATCTGTGACGGTTGGACAGATTAATTTTCATCCTAAATTCATTTTGGAATAAATTATATTAAATATTACAGAATTTTTGGTACGGAATAATTTTTGCCACTTTTCTGCTCTTTCAAGTTCATAAAATCATCACTTTAGTCATGTAGATTAGAACTAAATAATGTTTGAAGTTGTGTATTGGAGGCGTTAAGGGGAGCGTCTAGGGTAAAATTTTGGATTTCGGCTTTTCCGGTTTTTAGTCTCATCTTAAAGCTGACATTCTGATCTATCCAACGGTACCAAAACCATCTCTGTACGTTGATTTATGCGTTCACGACAGATCATGAAAGGGAGCCTGGCGTCGTATGAGGAGGTGTGCATGCAGTCGCTCCCACCATCCTTGACTGGAATCAAGCTCCAGTAACGTTTAGTTTTGTATCTTTGCTACATTGAGTGCCTATTCCGATGCGCGCGGGACTTTGACGGGCTCTACTGAAAAGTTAACTTATTGTCACTGCAAACCTGTCTCCTCCTAGAGTTTTTAAGCTACAACAATAAGACATATACCATTCGATGCGCAACAAAATTATCTAGAACGTAACACGGGCGTTTTTCTAATTTCGTTATAGTTTGGATTTTATTCCGCAAAAGGGGGGGTGGCGGGGGGGAAAATAAAAAATTTTTCGAAAAATGCTCCCACACCCACAAAAATGAGAAATCCTAAAAACCCTCGGGTTGCGTTTTAGATATGGTCTTTACGCATCGAATGATATGTGTCTCAATGTTGTAGCTTGAAAATCCTAGGAGGAGATAGATTTCTACGGTACCCCCTTTTTGACCGTTTTCTAAGAATTTCACGTTTTCTTTAATTTTTTTCGAAAAATTCACACGAACAAAAATGTCTTAGAATTCTATTTTACATACGTGTACCAAGTTTCAGAGTGATCCGTTTGTAAATAGCCGAGATAAATTATACCCTAGACGCTCCCCTTAAGAGTTGAGCTGTTGAGAGTTAAACGAATAAACTTCGTTCCTACCTGGCTATATGAATTCCATGATAAATTATTTCATTTTCAATTTGATAATGATTATCTTACTTTTAGTTTATTGATTTGCAGACTAGGATGCAATAAGCTAATTATCAGTGAAAAAATGGAACACGATGCTGTTTTTGTGTCGGCATTGGCGCAATAATCATTGCTACTAATTCGACGTGTTGTCTCGTTTCAAGCACAGGAATTTTTCCCCACGTGTGTTGTTAATCTTTTGATTAAATACAGGTAATGATTTTAAGATACTCGTACATTATTGCCTTTATATTTCTAGATCTGCCGTGCCGAAACTTAACGCACCATATCGTGTGCCCCAAAGATATTGTGCCTTATGCCCAACGCACCGTATCGTATGTCACATACCGTTCCTATGGCCCAGCGCACCGTTTTGTGTGCCCCGAAGATATTGTGCCTATGGCCCAACGCACTGTATCGTGTGCCCCAAAGTACCGTGCCTATGGCCCAACGCACCGTATCGTGTGCCCCATACCGTTCCTATGGCCCAGCGCACTGTTTTGTGTGCCCCGAAGATATTGTGCCTATTGCCCAACGCACTGTATCGTGTGCCCCAAAGCACCGTGCCTATGGCCAAACGCACCGAATCGTGTACTCCATACGATCCCTATGGTCCAAAGCTAATTATCGTATGCGCCATACGGTGCCTATAGGCCCAGTGCACGGTATCGTATGCTCTACCGTATCGTACCTTTGGTCCAACGCACCGGATCATACCCATCATTACCCATAATGTGCTGTATCAATACAGAATAAACTTGTTAACCGATATGCCGTATCAATATCCCATGTTACCAACGTATCGTGAAATATTTTAATTCAGAAAGTCTGCTTTACTGTGCGTTAATCAAATTTGAATTATAGCTTAGCAATACCCCATTTACCAATATACCGAGCCTAAATTCTCATATACAAATTGGTAAATACAAATTAATAATACCGTATAGTAAAATTGAAGCCAGCCCCGCTTTCCTATTTCACTTTTGTGAAATACAAGAGATCTATTTCCCCTTAGCTTTCTATGTAACTTCATAAATTTAGGTAAAATGAACGCTGCAGTGGATGCAGGATTTATTTGATTTGATACAGAAAAGGAATGCAAAATCCATTAGCCTGAACTTTTAATGTATTCGGTTCACACGTGTGCTGAGAATATCAAAGGAATAACTAATTAGCCGGTGCCAGTCATAATTGATTAGTAAGTGTCGGTCATAATTAAGTAGTAGCTAAGTGTCAGCCATAATTAATTAGCAGGTGCCAGAAATAATTGATTAGCAGATGAACTTGAATTTGGTTGGGTCGTAACGCGTGGTATGAAGCATATTAATCTTTTCTTCGCCATGTGTAGAAGGATACCTCGGAGTCATGGTTGAATTAATATCATGTTACTAATATAAATACTAAAATATTATAATATTAGTTCAACCATGACTCGGAGTTACAAGGCAACAGGTGTAGAAGGTTAACCGGGCCAGTAATGGTTAACTTCATATTGCAGATTAACATGGCGCTGTTAATCTGCGATGTTAATTACCGTGACTGTACAATATTTACAGTTACGGTAATCGCAATTTTGGCATTAATTCAATATCACTTTGTCTTTATTCACTTGTATGTTTATTTTCTGAAGCTTTCGTGGTAGTGCAGTTTAATGTAAAAGATCATGAAGCATCGTCGACGCGAAATTTCTCGGTAGCATCAAGACTTATGCATGACGCCAAAGTATCGCCATCAACAATTTCACCAGTACTTAAGAATTCATAATATTGATCGATTAGCAAATCAAAAACCCAAATTTGATATTAGAATGAGTCGCGTAATATTTAGGTATAAGCATCTACTTTAATCGGCAGACGGTCAATAAAATAGGTTTTTAAACGCTTGCTTCGTTAAATGTACTTGACTGTCGGGTTTAACTGTAATGTTATATGCAGTGTGTTTTAAATTTATTAACCCAATGCTTGTGAAAAAGTTTTATCAAAAACGAAGACTAAATTGAAAGCAAACTTGAATAGCTGTGCCTTAAAGCAAAATTCATTGATCACGATATTCCTGTGCATGTTGTTGCCTTTGGTTCACTAGTAATTTGGAAATATGAGGGGTATTCCCATATCAGCAGATATTATTAGCAGATACAGTGATAACTCATCTATCGCTGGCGTGAATTTTTATCGACTGATCTATCTATCTATCGAATTGATCGACTGATGCCTGGTATTTTTGTAAATATTCGAGTTGTATTAGTTCGGAAAGTTTTCGTTATTTCAAGTGTTTTCAAAACTTTCACACACTCTAGCTGCCGATCGAATTTCACGGGCCGTTTGAATCTGCCGTTGAACTTTCTCCGAAACCAGCAAACCAACGAAGACCCGCAAAAAATTCTCCTCATTAATGCTTCTTGACAACACACGATGGAGAGAAGCCGTGGTAGGTTAAACGCGATTTAAGAGATGAATATTGTAAACCGAGCGTTGCGGCGGACGTTGCATGTGGTGTAATATTTCAGCATATTTACGTCTCCAGATCCCAGACAAACTATGAGCGCTGTTTCTGAATCCATTGTAGGCTAACAAATTGGCTTCGACCTTGAATATATGGAGTAATGAATACACATTATATCTTATGGCTAGTTGCACCTGAGATCGATCGAGGTTTTCGTCCGACAATATTTATTTTCATTACTTAAATAAATTTGTTATCAGTGAGAATTGTTAATTAAAGAATTGACAGCCTTCAAAAAGATTGGTTAAGATCGACACATAAAATATAGTTTTGATCTAGGTCCTTGAACTTATACCCATATTTGAAAGCCAAAATGCTTGAGCAAAAAAAAAGTATGAATAATCGGAAAGTAGGGAACTTGCTGCATGGGTGCATGCAAAAAAAAGGAGCTTTCAAGTCACTTCAACTCAGACTTTATAAGAGGGGCAAGGTTACCTAGAGCTATTTATATACGACCAGCCGGGAGGGATAATTTCATGGATATTATTATCTGATTATTTTAAATTTATCTATTATTGAGAGTAAATAATTATGATTTATTATTCAGCAACTATATTTATGAAAATCTGTTACTGCGGATGATGAGTAATTTATCTGCTCCACAGCTGATCAATTTTGGGAGCGCATTGGGGGATGTGCTCCGGTTGGACGGGTTGGGCGGATCATTCCAATGTCCTTGTAGTGTTTACAAGGGGAAGGGGTTAACGCGTGATTTCTTTTCTTTACAGTTAACCTGTCATCGATCAATCCAATATTCACTGGCTATGGCCACAGTCTATCCTTCAACTTAGTCAAATTTACTTACACATTGATGATTGAGCTGCCATATTTTATTGCCCTAACGGCCTAACCTAGTTGCTCTTACTCAACAGCTCAAGTCTCATCAAATTAATTTTTTTCGTAAATATGGTGTGTGAAAAATGTGAGAAGAAACTTGGAAAGGTAAATCCTTAAAAATAAAATGGTAAACTTGAAGTTGATCTATTTTGCAACTTCATTTCATAATTAATTTCAGAATTTCAGCCTTGCCTTACCCAATAGGCCAATGACAATGTGAGCAGCGGGTGCCGGGCAGCGCTCTGTGAGACTCTGTATAATGTATATTATTATTATTCCAGTATATGTATTATTGTATACACTACTAGATACCTACAGTAATAACAATAGGTAGGGTAAATGGGGTATATTCCGACTTCGTGGATAATTCCGTCACCTCTCTAGTTTTTCCTTTATATTAAGCTTTGTTTTGGTTCCATGCGTTTGTTGATGGTTGAAATGGTGAGGTCATGCATTTGCGCGTCAAACTACTGCCAAAACACTAGGTCTTGGCCATCTAGCGGGAAAATATTGAGATCCAAAGAGAGACAATGCACACTACCCAGTGTCCAGTGAGATTATCGAAAAATGTGTCAAATTTGACAGTTGACCATGCAGGCTTGCTCTACCAAATAGTGAATAACTGTTTGTATAGGAAGAATATTATGGTTTGAGACTTTTAAATACGTCTGTGAATATATTAGGAATCCTTTAACTTTAAGCATACTTGTATTTGCTGATTTCAAGTGGTAAATAAATTAATAGATGATTAAGTTGAGAAATGGATTTAGACACATGAAAACTAATTCCGTCACAACTTGAATTGGACACACACAGATCGTTCCAAGCTATGTACAAAAATTAAAATTTTCCTAATTAAAAGCTCAATATTTGTTAATTAAAAGCATAATTAAGTAGTGTTCAATATTCATTAGTGTTCTAATTCAAAGCCATGTTGTATTCCAATACAGCTCACACAGCAAACGGAATTCAAACGCGTGGATGATGGCATTACGTATCAGTAGAATTTGAAGCGCGGACGGAATACGCCTCACCACGTACCGAATATTGCCACACACAGTGTCGGAATATAGGGATTTGGTAGGTTTGCATTCTAAAGGCTTTTAAATAAATATGGCAACATTTTGTGACATTTCATCGTTGCTGGCGCCACGTGGCGCGTAGTACGGTGTTTTCCGAGTCACATAAAGCAAACAGAACTCGAGTAACGCATACGGTTATTTTTTTATAGTTTTTCATTTCTCAATGCGTCCTTAATGTGTCAGAATATACCGCGTTTACCATAGCCTATAGAACTTAACTTGCTGCAAAGTTTTGTATTGTATTTTGTAGAACCTCATGTTTCAATGCTTTTATTGGCAATTTTACTGTTTTGGAATATGGGCAGTGCCAGTATTCAACTAAAAATATGTAAAAATAATCATTTCATGAGTGATTTTTTTAAAATCTGTAGTAAAAATTGGCCATTTTTTGTAATTTTAATGAAAAATAGGCAAAATGCCATGGCATAAGTGTGAGTAAAATTGGCCAAATTCAGACCTTTTTGTCTGATTCAGTGGGCTAGTAGCTTCTGCTCAATTTTTTACTTAGATTGGCAAATGAGCCTGTTTGGCTATCATTACTTTGAGTCTGAGAAAAATTGAATTCAGGGAACTGGAAATTTTGTTCAAAGCCACAAGCCATACCCAGGATGGTGCTGTTTTCCATGCCATGGATTAATCCAGCATACATGAGGCTCCAAGCCCTTCTGCTGGTGTACAGCGTGGCATACAAGGATCTAAAATAATGCTTTTTTTTTTATTAGACAAGATCTCTGAAAATAAGCATACCCGTACATGCTGTATCGCACCTCTGCAAAAGCATTTTGGTTTGGGTCTCAATTGACATGCAGGGTTTCAGCTTAATTTTTCAGTTTGACAAATAATCATAGCAGTGATGGTAAACTGCAATTTTTATTACAATTTTAAGGCTATATGACTATATTCTATAGTCAGTACTCAATATTTTTGAAATGGTTTTGCAAATCATGTGGCCTCAATCATGAATTTTCTTTCAAATTTTCATATGTCTGAAATATCCCAGCTCAGTCCTTTGTGTTGTGTCTACATAAATAAAGGATCCAAAAAGGTTGAATTTTTTATTGATGTCATTTCAAGTTAGTATGGATAGCATTAAATCCAAGGGGTAGCTAGATTTTTGAAGCTATTATCTTATTTATTTCTGAGCTGTTCATCCATTTTTCAAGCCCTGAATTTATTTTCATTGGGAAGCCATTTCTGATCCTTTAACTTATTTGCTGCATACAAATTTTATGCTAAATTTCTAATTTTATCATTGAAATAGCAATAAGGATATTCTTTGCATTTTGCTGGTAATTCATGTGGTAATATATTTTGCAAACTTTTGGCAGCAAAATGAAGCAGTTTTATTGCAATTTGACATGATTACAACTACAAGATTGTCAATGACATTTTTTGGGTGACTCACCATTCTTCTTATTGTTGTTGTTGTTCATTGCTACCGTCACGATCGCCGGGGGGGAGGCTCTGGTGGTGGGCGGGGGTCCGGCACCGGAAGAGGAGGGAGATGGGCGAAGGCAGGAAGGGTGGCCAGGAAAGCCACTGCCTCCACGGGGTTGTCCCACAGTGAGGAGACGCTGAGAGACGTGGGGAAGGCGGGGCAGACGAAGAGATGCTGGACCGACTGGAGGGGATCCCCGCACTCCGGGCAAGCGGAGCTAGGGGAGTGTCCGATCCTGGCGGAATAGGACGCCAGGGAGCTGCAGTATCCTGAGCGGAGCTGGGATAGCGCTGAGCGGTAGGGGCGAGGGAGTGAGGCCTCCACTGAAGCAATCGGCGGTGGTGGGGCAGCAAGTACGGCGTTTATGGCGTCAGTCGCCGCAACGCGGAAGGCAATGCAATCTCTTTGCGGAGGGCCCGCTTGGTCTCTCCGTAGGCACCCACAGGCATCATGCCATTATCCAAGAATGGTGTGACCAGGTGACCGAACCTTGACTGGATGGAGGCTTTCATGGGGCGGTCACCCGGGGGGGGGGCAGACAGGTCCAGGAATGAGGTATATGGGATGACGCCAGTCTTCTGGTGGGGGCGGGCGAGTGAGGTCTCCACTGATGCGATCGACGGTGGCGGGGCTGCAAGTACGGCATTTATGGCGTCAGTTGCCGAAACGCGGGAGGCAAAGGGAGGACGCCAGTCTCCTGGTGAAGGTGGGAGATCGGGGCCATTTTGAGGCAGCCGGTGGCTAGTCTCAATGCAGTGTTTTGTATTACGTATCTGCAGGCTGGCAACTGCTGTGCGTGAGGCAACAGGGTACCAGATGGGGGCCACGTAGTTGAGGGTTGGGCGCATGATGGCTCGGTAGGTGGAATAATGTCCTCCTTGGAGAAGCCCCAGTTGGTACCAGCTAGGGCTTTTAGGATGCGAAGAGAACCCCTCACTTTCGTGGCGATGGCTCTTGCATGAGGGGAGAATGTGAAGCGCGTATCCCAGGTGACGCCCAGGATTTTAGAGGTTTTATCCAGGGGGATGACGCCGTTGCAGATAGTGGCTGCAGGGTGGGATCGAGATTGGTGGGTGTCTGGTGTGAATAGCGTGACCGAGGATTTGCCTGGGGCCACGCTCAGTTTCTTGGCCGCCGACCAATCCGATACGTTCCGAAGGAGCTCAGCCTCAGCAGCGTCGAGCCTCGGGGACGACACAAAGATGGTCAGATCGTCCGCATATGAGGCAATGTTGGGGGTCGGAACTGGGATATCGGAGATGAAGTGGTTGAAGAGGGCCGGCGAGAAAACCGAGCCCTGGGGCACTCCAAAGTCCGAAGTGAACAGCTCTGAAAGGCGACTGCGTTCTGAGATAGAGGCAGGACGCCAGCCTGCCTCTAAGGTAGCAGCACAGCCAACGGACCAGGATATGATGTAGGTCCGAGGCCGCGATCATGCTCAGAAGGAGGGGGTGGTCGACGCTGTCGAAGGCCTTCGAGAGGTCGACGGCAGCGGCGATTGTGCGGGCTGGAGGGCGCCGGGAGTTGAAACCCGTCGCGATCTGGTGCGCGAGCGGGAGGAGGGCGGTGACAGTGGAATGTCCCGGCTTGAAACCATGGAACGGTGGTGAGAGATCCCAAGATGTATGGTAGAACCAGGCGCTCAAGAATCTTGGCAGCCGGGCAGAGGAGGGAGATAGGGCGGTATGAGGAGCCCTGCTTTCCGGGTTCGCCCGGTTTGAGAATTGGAATAATTATAGAATTTTTCCAAATGGGCGGAATTGAGGCTGTATGTAGAAACGGAGATGTTGAAAATGTGGGTGAGGAACTGGAGGCCACGCGGGCCGAGGTGCTTTAGGTGAAGCACCGTGAGGCCATCTGGACCCCGAGCGGAAGAGTTGTTGGCGGCTGCGATGGCAAGCTTCACCATGTCTGGGGTAAAAGGGGAGAAGTCCCTGTCGAGGGGATGTTGGGCTCGTATTCGATGAATGAGGCGGCGAGTGGAGGGGTTCTGAGAGTGAGGAGCGACCGAAGTGAAAAGTTTGCAGAAGGCGGAGGAGATCTTGCGTTGGAAGAGGGAAATCCGACCAAATTGGATTGGCTGATTGGGGGGAGGGCGGTTCCTCTTTCCGGCTAGGGAGCGGAGGAGATTCCAATGTTTGGATTGGTTGGTTCGTCTGCTGCACGACGCAAGATGTGTCTGCCATGTGTTCCTGGCGTGGGCCTGTATAGAGAGGCCTATTTCCAGGTTGAGATCTAGGAGCCGTGGGTCGGTTGGGTTATTCGCCCTAATGTCATCCCGTTGCTCCATGAGCAACCGGGTGCTAGGGTCGACTGATGGGGAGAAGTCCTTCCTGAATCCGGCAGGGATATGCTGTCTGGCAGCGGTCGTCAGGACTTCCCTTAAGGTCGACTCTCCACCACACGAGGTGGGGGGAGGGACCGTCTCGAGCGCCGCTTCAATGGCTGCCGTGTAGGCGGGCCAGTCAGCTTTTTTGAAGTTGACATAAGAGCGGGCGGCCCGGGGGGTTGGGGAATCAGCAGAGGAAGGGAGATGGATCAGGATGGGCAGGTGGTCCGAGTTGAGGGCGACTTGCAGAGCCCAGGAGGTGCTGAGGAGTAGGTGACCGCTGATAATGGCGAGGTCCGGAGAGGAGGGCGGGCCATGGGAGGGGAGGCGGGTATGGGAGTCCTCATTGAGGTAGGCGAGGGAGGAACCAGCGACTAGGTCGTCGACTGCGGCTCTCTGGTCGTCCGTGTAGGAGAACCAGGAGGGATGGTGGGCGTTAAAATCACCCACTATCTGGCAGTCTCCCGGGATGGAGATAATATCCGTGAGCTCCGGGGAGTATCCCGGGGGGCAGGAGGAGGCCGGTGGGATGTATACATCCCATTCTTCTTGTCGCGGTCATCTACTGTGTCTGCCAACCCAATGTGGTTATAGTCAATTGTTAAACCTATTTGTATATGAAGTCCAATTATGTCAAAATTGTTGCAAAAGCAAAAAATTTACCGATTTTACAGCAATGTATAGGTACTGGTATATTTTTTGTCATAGAAATAAAGAAAGAAAAGCATAAAATATTATTACCATCCTAGAGAAAACCCTCCATATCAGCTACCTATACTTTCTGTCAAATCTGTTTCAAACTTGACTCCAATTTTTCAAGCATTTTTTTTTTTTGCATCCCAGCAGAAATCATTTCAAACTATTCCAATAATTAATGCAAGATAAGGAAGCTAATTTAATTTGCCCTAAAAATCCCAGCTCGATTAACCAACTCAGGACTGTGTCCTCCAGAGGTGCACTGAAGTCCATAATTAGATTGAGGTGTTGGAGTCTTATTCGAGGCTATTTGCTAAGCAGCCATGTAATCTTGTCTCAACATCATGAAAATGTATGATATCATGTATCCTTTAAGCTACTGATGGATTTTCGGAACCAGAGTAGAGTTAGGGGACTTTTTTGTCAAAAATAAGTCTTGAATGTTTTTAATGGCATTGTGAAACTGGCAGATTGAGATAAATGCACTAAAAAAGTACTTGCAAAACAAAATTGAAATATTTTTTGATTGACGGCAAGATTCAAGGATGACTAATGTTAGTTGTTACTCAACACTTTTAATTAAGCAGTTTATTATGGCTTTCAGGTGATCACTCCGGATGTTTGGAAATCGGGAGCCCGAAACACAACTGAGAGTGGAGGAAGGAAAATAAATGAAAACAAGCTGCTGACTTCTAAAAAGAATAGATTTAACCCAACTACTGTAAGTGTTAAAATTTCCCCAAGTACACTACCGTAGAACTTCTTTATTTTATAATCAGACCTGCAAATTTTTTTGTATAGTTTTAAAGCATCATAAGACTACTCTTCTACTGATGTAACTGAGTTCAATTAATTTTTTCCAGACTCAATTCAAGGAGTGCAGAATATGCCGCACCAAAGTGCATCAGGTTGGAGGAAACTACTGCCAAGCATGTGCCTATAAGAAAGGCATATGCGCCATGTGTGGCAAGAAGGTCCTCGACACTAAGAGCTATTGCCAGTCATCTGCCTGAGACGGAAATTTCATGCTCCTTTCTTCTTATTATTTGCTAAAGATTCGATCATATTGAATTTAGATACATGTAGATGCTCCGACCAATGCAGGTTGCATTGTTCTCCAAAATGCTCGACTCGAGTGAGAACGCCACGCACATCAATTTTGGCTATGTCTGACATGCCTGTTTGGTCGATTTATTATAATAAAATTAACCCTTTGTGTTGTTCATCATAATCCATTTGGTTATCTATGTATACAGCTTAAAACGGAGTTCAAAATCTTGATCTTTTCTAATTTCACGTTTTGAATACCTACTCAGTATCGATTTGAGAAAATAGCTAAGTAATAATGAAACCAGAAATATCAGACCTTAACATTTTGTCAGGTATAAATGAAAATCATTTCAAATGTTGCTTTTACTCACAAAGATCGTAGTGTATAGAGTGCTCCTTCGACAATGTTTTGCCACGGGGCAGAAATTTTATTTCCTATGAATTACCTTTCAACAATACTAATTTTATTAATGACATTTGCAATAGATATTCAAAACGCGATTAAAAGTTAAATTGGCGAAATATATCCATGCAAAAGCTTTTCATTTTCCCAAAAATGTAAACAATGTTGCTTGAGCTGCGAAAGAGATGTGGCTTGAAGCAAAGCAGCACTAGTTGCAAAGATGACAACCGAGGAAACAACTAGGCTCGGACTAAACTCAATCATACTCGGAGTCAGCTACATCAACTTTGCTACAAATAAAGAATTCTCGATATTATAAATGGCTTCGTGGAAGCGGAATGAAAGCGAAAGTTTTCGTCATGTAGCAAGAAATTCCACCGATTGATTGTTTCTGAATGAGTCGTTTGCAGTCAATGTCATCGTGATGAGAAGATGACAGTACCATCTCTAATTGAAATTTCCAAAGATCAAGAAGTCGATACTAAATACCAAAACAGTCAGCTTGTAAATAAGTAGGTAATAATTGTCACGGCCTATCAAACGGAATGAATAATTTTTTTCTAATAACATTGATGTTGCTTTATGCACCTTTCAATATGTACATTTTTTCAGAAGACGAAAAATTTAACAATTGTATAAGCTCAAGTAAATAAAGATTGAAAGAAGCATCGTCACTCATCGCGTTGCCGCCTGCTTCACATTCTAAGCAAAAATAAATATTTGAAAGTATAGAAAAATATTAAATCAGCTTACAAAGCTAAATAACATAGTTATAAAACTAGAATTGGTTAGTCATTCGACAACTACGATATTGAATTTTTCTTCAGCTTTTTAATTTAACATTTCCATTGGCGGTTAATACAGATATAATAAAGGTTACGGATGTGTTCCAAAGATATGGATTCAAAAGAGTAAGTGTAAGGAAGATTCGCAATGCCCACAATGCAGCACATGTATATTCTGATCGCGGAATTGAATATTTCATCAAGATATTATGATAAACATGGCAAGCATAGTTCAGAATTGTAGATCAAAATTAGATGAATAGAGAACACGCCCCGTGTTGTTACAGCAACACGGCGATAATTCGTAGGTCATGAAGTCGCAACTGCAATAAAGTAGCGTGGCCGAAGCAGCAACGTTCATCACGGCTTCTTGGTACCGAGTTTCAATGGCCCTCCTTTACTTGTTCGTTTGGCCTCTATTTGCTTCAGCCGGTCGTCTTTTCTTTGTTCTCTTAAAGCTGCTCTTTCGTCTGAAAAGGCGAAATTTTAATTCGTTGTACTTGATTTTCTTCAAAATTATTTATATTTTTGCGATTGTTATTATAAATTTACACAAATTTTACTAAATCTGCAATACATTAGGTATTCCATTAGTAAGAATGTAACTCTATAATGTATTTTCTAGCAATAATAACTTTTTTCATGTTGTTTTTATCCAACATTCTGAATATTTATCACATGTTAGTAGTGTACATCCATTCAGGAATTCCACGTTAACGTAAGTCTACATGACGTAGTAGAGTTTTACTGGTACATGATGGCACTAATAATACCCGAGCTTGAACCTGTTCTTGATAAGACGCGCCACAGGCACATGAGGTAGGGACAGACGAATCAACATTTCATTATAAGTTAGGGTACACTGGATTCAGATATTGAACGATGGCAAAATGTTTGCAATACGAGAAGCTCATTACTTCTAAATCTTTCACCTAATGAAAAACTCTAGCTGATTTTTTTATCATTTTACAAAAAATCTAATGGAAAGAATACGTTAAGTTACTCACTGAACTTGCACAGTACATTCATCACTAACCAATTACTCACTGCACGGTTACTTCGCACAGTACCTTCATCACATGGATACTTCGCACATTACCTTCATCACTCAACAGTTACTCACTACATGGATACTTCGCACATTACCTTTACTGGCGCTTAAAGCTGATGACGAAGAGGACCAATTGCTGCTCGAGTTGGACGTGGGCGGGCTCGGTCTCTTGACACTACCGGGTGCGACCTGGTGGAGCAGATGCCAGTTTTAACCACACTATTATCTACACACAGGCAGTGATTGACACTCTGTCTTGGGTTTACTACAATCTATCAACGATACACAATCAGTGGTCAGCATATCTTAGTTTTACTATAGATACATAGGTACTCTATCAGAGACAAACAATCAGTGATCGACTCTACCTCAACTTTACGACACTATCAATAAAAAACAATCTTTTCGTAACACAACCTTCGTCTTACAACACACTATCAACCACCCACGATCGGTGACCGACACTACGGTATCTTAGTTTCTGAGTTTCATTTTGTATATATTATTCAAAAGTTTAGAGGAAATCTAACGATATAATCAGCTGTAATTAAATAATTAACCCGAATCCGTTTCAGTGAGTTACCTCCAAAGGATCCCAGGATTCATTTTCCCAGCCGGAATTAGCTGCTGGAGGAGGCAAGTCCTCCTGAAAAGAGAAATGTTAGCCATCAATACGATAATAAATTAAAATTCGCCAGCCATTTACTATAATACACTTTCAAATAGTAGATGAATGAAAATTCATTCCAAATTAAAAATGATCAAAAATTAGTACAATGGTTTACTCTGACCGACACTTCAGAACACGAAATGGATCCGTTCTTATGAAAGAAATGTATTTGTTCTTATGAAAAGATGGATCCGTTCTCACGAAAAAAATGAAACTGATCTCATGAAAAAATTGGATCCGTTCTTATGAAAAAATGGATCCGTTTTCATGAAAATAATGGATGCGTTCTATTGAAAAAAAAATGGATCCGTTTTCATAAAAAATATGTTTTCTTGGCATGCAGAGAAAGACGAACCATAGCTTGCCATTCCTCTCCGTCCGACCAGCTGCCGTTATCATCCGTTGCGCTGGCCTGCATGAACGACTCGATGCTCGACACCTGCGCCCCTGGGGCGGCGCCCCTGACGCCCTCTGTGCTGCTGGCGTGAGCACCAGGACTAGCAGGAGACGAGGCGCGAGGCAGCGAAGACTGCGACTCAGACCGAAGTGGCTGAAACAAACCATGTAAGAGTATGAATGTAGGTAATATCCGGTCGGTTTCGTAAGTCAGATCATTTAAGGATGTAATCATTTTGGTCCCAATAACCAGTTTGCCGTATACTATGAACGTGCCTGTTACCGGGCGTTCGCCACACTTTTTGATCTTGCATGAATGTTCGACCACTACGGCCAAACGTAGTAACGTATCATGTAAAAATACACAGATCTGGATAATGTTTCAATCGCTGGTATTTTATTGCAGTTGGTTCTTCAGTAAAACTGCAGTTCAGGTGGATAAAACGTAAATTCAGCAAAGAACAGTTAAAAAAGGCACATTTAAAATATTAAACACCAGCCTAATATTCACGATCGACAAACTGTTCCATAAATCTATCAGAGCAAAGCCACAATTCCAGTGCTAGGGCACAAGATTGTTGGCGAAGCAACAGAACGAGGTGAGAACAGGCATAACCTCACTGTAGGGCTGGCGGGACAGGACTGACTTCCCGGATTTACCGCCACTCAAACCTGGCCCCTCATGACGTCACTATCACTGCGGTAAGGTCGGACTCAAATGTTACTGATATGACTACACTAGAAGAAGCTGCGCAATTAAACCTCAGATATGTATGAAAATGAGTGCAAATGAAATGAATAAAATGAACGCGGTCAACAGTGAACGAAATCCATCTTTCCCCCATGCATATTGTAAACACTCGACCTATAATTTTTCTTTGTGCATGTTTTGGCCCACAAAACGTCTCAGTAGATTAACCAGGATCTACGTATTCAACTGTGGATAGAAAGTTGATTAGTATATAGTCTGATCACCAACAATGTTTGCTTACTCGGACGAGATGACAGTACGAAAAAATCAACAGAGAAGAAATCCCTACAAATTTAAACTGGTCACAAAATGGGATTAACTAATAAGAAATGTTAATAAAAATTACTTAGAGAAAATGCGAATCGTTCGCTTTTATGCTGCGTAGGTAGCATAAAACTGACACCCACCTCCGCCCTGGGTTTGGTGGCGTTGCCATCAGACTTGAGGCTGGCAGTAGCAGATGTGTCCTCCGAGATGTTGCTCTTGTAGAACTTGCTTGTTAGCGCCCCCACGGCCCACCCTGCCCACCCTCCCGCCCCACTCGCGCTCTCACACTCGCGCTCTCAGTCAACACCTCGCGCTCTGTATTGTTCCAAAATCAAAGATAACATCTAATAAATTTGTTAAAAATATACGGTAACTCAGTACTCACTGCAGTGAGTGACAGAGAGCGCATTTTCTCGGCGACGAAAACGTGAAGTCACGGACGGACATGGCGAACACAATAGTGTATTTTTCCATAAATGAGAAAATGCGCTAAAAATTGGATTTACTCATCTTGAGGTAAATAGCGAACGAGAACATTGAGATATAAAATATTAGAAGTTTTTGAAATTGGTGCCAACAATAAGGTACGTAGAAATTATCGAAAAATAATGTTATTAAAAACTTTAAAAAATCTGTCAGGCACAGCAGTAAGATTCTGTGAAAAGCAAATGCCTTGTGCCCATCCCAGATAAACTGAAAGCCAACCATAAGCAAGAACACTTTCTGCATAAACATAATATTGTGATTGGCTGATAATCAATGTATGTAAAGGATTTAGTATTAAAACGAATATTAATTTAGAGTTAAAACAAATTTTAATTTTGGATTAAAACAAATTTTAATATTGGATTAAAACAAATTTTAATATTGGATCAAAACAACTTTGAATATTTGATTAAAACAAATTTTAATTTTGGATTAAAACAATTTTTAATTTTGGTTTAAAACAAATTTTGATTTTGGACTAAAACAAATTTTAATTTTTGATTAGAACATTTTTAAATTTTGTATTAAAACAAATTTTAATTTTGTATTAAAACAAATTTTAATTTTGCATCAAAACAAATTGTTCGACAATCTGAACAGTCACAAATATCAGAAACGTTAGCATTCCTAGTGTATTCAACCTGGACTGACTGTATTCAACCAGAGGACTCCTTCAGCACACTAACCCATCTCCTCCTTCAAGGCCGGGTTCTCCGAGAGCTTCTCTAGGTTCGACAGGAATCCTTTAAGGACTCGGAAGACGACGTCCCTAACGTTCTTCTCCGGGTCCAGAGTTAGCAAACTCAACGCCGGCACAATTCTGATGAAGATAAGAACGATGTTTGTATTAAAGTGGCATTTAGTAACTACGTTTTGCTACAATGAGCAACAATAAGCTATTTAAATAACTTGGTCTACGGGAATAAGTATTAATATCAATGATAATGATTCTCAGCGATCAATACAGATAGGGTATGAAGAATTTAAAAGCATTAAAAATTGCCAGAAAATTCATTGTTTCTTAAAAAGGAAATAAGAATATCCTTTTTAAAAAATGACGATTTTTCTGGCTACTTTATTTGCTTTTAAATTCTTGATAAACATGCGATTTAAGTTTTTAGTGAATTTGCGATTCAAGCAAACGAGTGATATTATTACTTATATGCGATTTAAGTAGTCAAGTGATTTTAATGCTTAGATAGGGTATGATATCAGGGACACGCTCGAAAAAAAAAATTTAGTAAAACATTAAACGTCTTGTAAGGACTCTTTAAGGAAGTACCTGTAGGCGACTTGATCGACAGAATTTAGTAAAATATTAGACGTCTTGTAAGGACTCTTAAGGAAGCACCTGTAGGCGACTTGATCGACAGAATTTAGTAAAATATTAGACGTCTTGTAAAGACTCTTAAGGAAGCACCTGTAGGCGACTTGATCGACAGGATAGAAGTGCTGTGTTGTGGCCAGCGCCATGACACCTGCAGAGCGGGCTGGAGGGAAGGGGTCCTTGAGGGCGCGTGTGAAGGCCGACACGAGGCACTTGGCGCGCGTCGTGGGCGACAAATGACGGGCGATTTTACCGAGGCACACCGTGCAGTTGGTGCGGATGCCGCCCTGAATAAGTCAAAATTTTTTATTCCTTTTTTTTATGTAATTGTTATTTTTTAAGAATTATAAATAGGTCAACGTGTAGGTTTTTAACCACTTGTAGGTTTATAAATCCCTTGTAGGTTTTTAACCATAAAGGCAGTTGATATAATTCAAGGATTGGTGATAGGTATTTTTTGGTAGTTCATTTTGCTCATAGGTTTTTACCAATATATAGGAAATTGATTTTTATCTCGTGGATTTTGCACAAATTCTGCTTTGGTAGGTAGTTGTTCTTACAGATTTTTTTATTCGATCTTTTAATGAAGTCAATTTTGCTTCAGTATTCTTACTAGTTCCAATTATTCGAAATTTCTCTGATAGGGAAGTTAGCCCATAAAGATTAGCAGATTTACTGAGAGACCAGAGACGGTCCAGCATAAAATTCTATGAAAGCGAACTAAATAAGTACAGATATTGAGTTTCAGTGTATTACTTTAAATCTTAATCCGGAAACTGTTGTGTCACATTATAGAGCACCGAATTGTATACAATTGACGTTATAGAGCACCAAATTGTATAAAAGTAACATTATAGAGCACCATATTGTATAAAAGTAACATTATAGAGCACCGAATTGCATACAAGTGACATTATAGAGCACCAAATNAAGTGACATTATAGAGCACCGAATTGTATAAAGTGACATTATAGAGCACCGAATTGTATAAAGTGACATTATAGAGCACCGAATTGTATAAAGTGACATTATAGAGCACCGAATTGTATAAAGTGACATTATAGAGCACCGAATTGTATAAAGTGACATTATAGAGCACCGAATTGTATAAAGTGACATTATAGAGCACCGAATTGTATAAATGTGACATTATAGAGCACCAAATTGTATAAAAGTGACATAATAGAGCACCAAATTGTATAAAAGTGATATTATAGAGTACCGAATTGCATACAAGTATACCTGCTCATCCTTTGCTTGGAGTCTAGCAAAATGCTTCATAACTTCTATGTTGAGGAGCTGTTGGTTCAGTTTCGGCGCCAGATGAAGAATTGACTGCAACAGAATAATTATATATAAATTTATAAGTGCAAGAATGTCCTACACAGACCTATCATTCTTGCAAGAAATTTGACATGAAGTCATTTTCTGATTAATGACATCAGAAACAAATGTAAAATACTTTGGAACTTCACACTAAAATATACTAATCAAATGCTTAGAAAATTTATTTTTCAATATTAACAATAACAATTGACAAATAATAATAACAATAATAATAATATTAACAAATTTCAATATTAACAATTTTTCAATATTAATATTTTTCAATATTAACTTATCTACAGACACTTATAAGAGTCTTTCATCATTAAAGAGGTTCGTCTCGAAAAGCCTCCGCCGTTATCTGCCTTTTGTGTAGATTTTATGACGTTTTGTATTGCCATTTTATTTCAACATACAACTAGTGGGTTAAAAAGGTGTTGCCCGGACTCGATAATCAAGGCAATTTTAGGATCCCAATACCGTCAATATTTGTAATAATAAAGCTTATATATTCTAATTAAATAAAGACACTTTCAAATCCATATTCTTCATACAACATTTAACCCACATTTTACTCTCATTTCGTAATATCGAAAATCTATTTTGTTTCTTAATAAAATTATACCGACCAAATGCAAATAAAATTTATATTTTTGATCAGATCCTTTCCTTCAATCCTTACTATTCTCCCACTCAGAATGAAATTTCCGGTCCAAGTAATAGCCAGAAAAAATATAACTCAGTACTCACTGCAGTGAGTGGCAGAGAGCGCATTTTCTCGTCGACGAAAACTTGAGGTCACGGACAGACAGACGGACGGACAGACAGACAGACGGACATGGCGAGCACAATAGTGCATTTTTTCCATAAATGAGAAAATGCGCTAACAATAACAATCCAGGATAAGTCTGTATCCCCAATGGCCGGGTGCCTGGCTCCAAACACGCACACAAACTTAGTATGTTGTATGCATATAAGATGACAAACTTTGTAACTTTATACGTATATAAGATGATATATATTCAATTTCATATAATGAATAACATAAGATATCTACTTGAAAGACTGGTTGAAGTTTTACCTTGATGGTACGTTCCCTTATTGAAGGGTTAGCATCAATATTCAATTTTATATAATGGATAACATAAGATATCTACTTGAAAAACTGGTTGAAGTTTTACCTTGATGGTATGTTCCCTTATGGAAGGGTTAGCATCAATATTCAATTTTAAATAATGGATGACATAAGACAGCTATACTTGAAAGACTGGTTGAAGTTTTACCTTGATGGTATGTTCCCTTATGGAAGGGTTAGCATCAAGGAAACCAGTGCAGAGCTGAGGGAAGACCTTGTCGTTGATGGTGGAGGCGTCCATGTGGGGCGCCAGCGTCTCCATCTGCTGCAGGAGCTGCAGTCTCGTGGCGCGGTCAGGGCTGGCGAAGAGCTGTACCACCGTCGGTAGTACCTGCGACTGGTACTCGGGCTCACTGCACAGCTCGCTCATCTGCACTACCATAACACCACCGTAACACTACAATAACTCTACCATAACGCCACTATAACGCCGCCATAACGCTACCGCAACACTACCATAACACTACTATAGCAACAGTCACTGCGGTTCAATGCTATCTTGAGGGGCAAGAGAGGGAATTATTCAGCTGCAAGTGAACTCTAAAAAGATTTTTTTCATAATTCAGCAAAATATGAGATTGAATAATTACAAAATAAACGTATGATAACAATTTGGTAATATTGAGAGAATTTATATATTTTATCTACTGCACATGTTAGTGAATCAAGAACATTAGCGTAATAAGTTTTTTAATAATGCATGGAGAAAACGTAAGTATGTATATGAAATATTTCGTACAAGTTCTAAGACAATAAATAACCCTAGAAGTAGTAAATGTTCATAGTAGAAATGAAATCTTCTTTGTATTGATGTATATAACCTTTAGCAGCGAAGGCAAGACCATGGAGCCGAGACTGGAGAATTGCTGTGCCGTGACTACAGCTGGCAGAATCTTGTGCTTCACGATCGGCGGAGGGATGTTGTCCAAATCTTCTCGTAGTCGAGTGAAAAATCTGCATGAAAAAATTATTGAATTTTGAAGATTCACGAATAATTTTTCGAGGAATTTGTGATCATTTTAACACAATGATGGTGCGTCACAGAAGTAGTGAGAAAATTATATTCGAGAATGTCTCATTTATACCCACAATTTGCATTATTTAAAAATACTAAATTGTGTTATAACAAAATCGAAAATCTCCACGAGTTGTATCTAAAACCTTAACTTATCGTTAATAATATCATTCAATGTACTAACAGCTGTTTCTCGGAGCTCTGTCTGATGTGGATGTTGTCGAGGAAGTCAATCGTGTGGATGAGTTTGTTGTCAAGGAAGCAGCTTGGCCCTGAGAGCTGCTCAATAACTTGACTGGCTTTAGGTCTTCTGGCCGGAGACTCGCTGAGCAATTGTTTGTAAACTCCCGTCACGGACGAAGGAAACTGCCGATGCAAGGTAGACTTATTGCGCAACGTAGGTTTTATGAGCAATAAATTGTTTAATTAAAAAATATTGCGTAAAGCAGCATCAAATTGGTACTCTTTGCCGTCAATGTTGGGGATTTAAAAACGTAAAATAGTAAATTTAAAGGATGTCAACACATACAGCCTTATCACCTGCAACCATAAGCAACATAAGAAAATATCAAACAAAATTTAGTCCACAGAAATTAATCACCATCAGTGCATATAATAGAAAACACTGAATGAAATAAGAACGGCCTGCTTGCGGAATTCATTAATCATGACAATATATTTGGTCTTGGCAAACTCCCATATTGACAGCTTCCAAGCATATAGGTAACCCTTATAGGATTGCATAGCTCAACTGTACTTAAAATCATTATGATCATACGATTGTACAGTAATGCAGTCTGACAAGAGTTAGTTAGTTTAGTTGATAACGATTTACGCAATTTAAATCGTTACTAGCGCTTCAGTTATTTGGCTATCTCGCACTGAAAGTCAAGATGAACATCACCAACAGGGTGGAAGGTGTCAGTTATCAAAGGTTTCTTGAATAAAAAAGTATTCATCACCTACAAGAGGCGGAAGGTCTCAATTGTCCAGTGTTAATATGATGATTAAATAAAGAAATACACACTTCAGAATAGCCACTAACCTTGGTTGTGTTGCGCAGGACGCCGCTCTGAACAAGTGGAGTCACATTGAACACCTCCCACATGAAGCAGCCAAGCCCCCATGAATCTGTGGACCTGTGGCGTGGACTTCATATTAGCTGCAGTGATAAAGTCGTAACTCTTGTGTATGGTAATCTATGAAGATACTAGGATTTATAATGGTTCAACTATAGGTGTAGCTGTTTGTACTATTCATAATAATTTAAACACCTATTGCTCCTAGTCACAAGTAATTAATCTATTTCGTGCTAGAATCAGAACTTCAGAAACTATTTTATTAATTTAAATGAAATTAAAGAAGCCATCAAACGTTGGCTTTTAATTTTATAGAATAAACAGGAAACTTGCCAAGGTTTCATGTCTTTCCACAGAGCGCTGTTGGCTTTCTCAGGAGCGTCATACACAGCCAAGGACACCGGGAGGCGGTTGGGAGGAAGCTCCACGGATCCTTCACCCTTGGCTGGTCGGCAGAACTCCAAGCCTCCCAGCTTCCACTCCCCACCAGGAGTGACAAAAACACTCGAGCTGTTCACGTTGCAGTGCTCCAGGTTGCCGTCATTGTTAAGAAAGCTTACCGCCCTCTAATGATGAGAAAAAATTCATTAGGACCAATTAAATGACTGAAAAAAAGAATGCCTGAATTTCTATAAATTTCTAACTAACACTGTCCAGGTTTGTTGTCATTGTTCAGATAGCTTACCGCCCTCTAATGATGAGAACAAATTCATTAGGACCAAATACCAATTAAATGACTGAATAAAAAACAGTGCCTGAATTTCTATGAATTTCCAACTAACACTGCCTCTAATGATGAGAAAAAATTCATTAAGACGAATTAAATGACTGAACACAAAAATCAATGCCTGAATTTCTAACTAACACAGTACAGTTTTGCTGCTATTGTTCAGAAAACTAACAGCGCTCTAATGATGAGGCAAACTTCGTTTATAAAAAATGAATGACTGAATGAAAAACTTAATGGCTAAAATTATTTGAATTTTTAATAAATAACAGGAACATTCACAATTATTTAATATGATAATATCCAATTTTCACTCACTAAAATTTGTTGAATGCCCCAGGCCTGTACATCGGCCTTCTGGTCTGAAACAAATCTGCTGTCCAGCAGCCAAGAGATGAGTGGTGAGACAGCAGTGGTGATGAGATATACGGCCTTATCACCTGCAACCATAAGACAAAGTGATGAGACTGCAGTGGTGATGAGATATACGGCCTTATCGCCTGCAACCATAAGACAAAGTGATGAGACTGCAGTGGTGATGAGATATACAGCCTTATCGCCTGCAACCATAAGACATACTAGTGATAAGATGGCAGTACTAGTGATGAGCTACATCAAGCGGATCTTGTTAAGAATAAGCACCCCAGTATGACCTTGTTAATAAAACGCATCAAAGTATAAATCTTTGGAGAATAACTTTGTTAATCCTCCCTTTCACTTTCCTATCTTCCAGAATTCATGTGGCGAGATTGCTTTTCAAAAAATTCTTTTGAAGCTTTATGTGATCATCTTGCAGCTTCATACTTTGACTCAGATGTTTAACTTATCATTTGGGATTTAATGTTCTATAATGTATTTTTTATATTGAATTGTAATTCTTAAAAAATGTTTAAATAGACCTAATTTGTTTTTATTATACATTAAATTAACCTTGTTAAGAATACACACCCCAGTAATGTCTGGGGTGCTTATTCTTAAAAGGATCTAAACAAGCCACACTAGGAAATTTTAAATCCCAAAACTAACTTATAAAAAGCCTGCTAGGAATACATTATAAATATCATTACTTAAAAATTACATGCTAGAAGTAAATCGTAAATAACAAAACTCACTTTCTAAACTATCAACATAATGAAGAATACAAGGATGTCGGAGACTCTTGAGCCGCTGCACAGCAGATCTTGCCAGCTCGAGTTCCGTGTTGTTGTGCACTGAGCCGTGGCAGACAAATGCGCTGAATGCTGTGCCGCAACCCTGTTCATACAAGACAGATTCAGCAATGGTGGAACAGATGCATTCTATGTAATTTATGTTGTGTCAATTTAGAAAAATTTTCAAACGTCTTCAAAAGTTTCACGAACATCTATAAAGTCTTTGAAAGCTTAGCTCATGTATTTTTATCTTTGTTAATGTTTTTCAAGCTTTGCAATTGCTATTGAAGCTTTGTTTATGCCTTTTTAGGCACTCTTAACATGCTTTCAAACTTTTTAACATTTTTCATAGCTTTGCTACCTTCTTCAATAGCTTTGTAAATGTCTTTTAAAACTTTGCTATCATTCTCAAAAGCTCTGCTAACATTTTCAATAACTTGAAAAGCTTTGCAAATGCCTTCAAAGGCTTTATTTACATAATCCAAATCTTTGCTAATATATTTTGAATAATAGCTAATGCATTTTGATTTGCTGCTAATACCTTTAAAAATTCGCCTAGTGACTTTCAAAGCTATGTTAATGTCTTTTAGATCATTGTTAATGCCTAAAACAGGCTCAAAAAAAAATGATGCTACTGTATTTTAAAAACTTTATTATCATCTTTTAAATCATTGCCATTGCCATTCAAAGCTTTGTTAACATAATGTAGAGCTTGTTAACGTCTTTTAAAGCTGTGTCAACATCATTTGGAGCTCTGCAAACATCCTTTAGGGCTATATATATTTTCTTCACTGATAACTATGTTTTTAGGGTTTTGCTAAAACGCTTTTCTAAGGCTGTAATAAAATTTTCAGGGCACTGTTACATATTTTAGGGCCTTCTTAACATCTTTTTTGGCTTTGCTAGTGTCCTTTAGGGGTTTGATGCTTTTGAAATGAATATCATGTTATGATGCTTTGAACATAAAAATAAGGCATAAGCAAAGCATAATAAATACTAGTACAATTTGTATAGCTGCCTTTCATCAAAAGAAATTTTACAAGATTCGTAACCCGCCACACTTCCAATCACCATTACAATACTCAAAGTGCTTTAAATCATGCTGTATTGAAAATTGTATATAGTACACAATTTTTTATTCTTACTAACTGCTGCTACATAAAGTAATAAAGTAAAATACAAATCTAACCTCCAAATTAATCAGCAGTAAAGGCACTCACCTTCTTTTTTGCATGGTGCAATGTAAAAATGCTTCTGCCTTCACCTGGACACACAGCATCTCCAATATCATACTGGAATGATGCAGAAGCACTTCGACTGAACAGGGACCACATTTTTAACGTCAACACAGGGTTAACTATTAATATTTAGATGTCAAATAACTGTCACAACATTAATCTTATGGTTTTACTACCAACTTCATAGCACACCATAACAATGGCAACACTAACAGCCTCAGGCAATAATTTGCTGCAAGTTGCACCTCTAAAATACTACACTAAAATTCACAGTAAAACTCCATTGTTCTGGGATAAAATTTGGAGAAGAATTTTCATAACCTATATAAAGAAGATAATGATTCAAGGAATAAAGCTTGTCAAAGTCACCAAGACATGAAAGCTTAGAAGACTCTGGTTTGGGAGAAGTAAGAAAAAATTAGATAACCATTTTTGCACCCCTAATTTAAAAACTCATTGTTAGATAACCAATATGCCAACAAAAAAATAATTGAGGATGAATTTTGCTTTCAAAGCATCTAACTTAGACTAACTATGAATACAAGAGATTAAAGTTTGGTTTGGTTGTATCTTCAAAATTTCTCAAAAATTCATAATTTCACTAAACAAAGATAAAATAAATGAAATATTATCCTCATGAAAAGTTTGGCTTTACCAATCTTGATCCCCAGGCACATAGGATTAAAACTTTTATTAAAATAGGGTAAACGCGGTATATTCCGACATCGTGGGTAATTCCATCACCTCTCTAGTTTTTCCTTTATATTAAGCTTTGTTTTAGTTCCATGCATTAGTTGATGGTTGAAATGGTGACGTCATACATTTGCGCGTCAAACTACTGCCAAAACACTAGGTCTTGGCCATCTAGCAGGAAAATATTGAGATCCAATGAGAGACAATGCACGCTACCCAGTGAGATCATCGAAAAATGTGTCAAACTTGACCTTGCTCTACCAAATAGTGAATAACTGTTTGTATAGGAAGAATATTATGGTTTGAAACTTTTAAATACGTCTGTGAATATATTAGGAATCCTTTAAGTATACTTGTATTTGCTGATTTCAAGTGGTAAATAAATTAATAGATGATTAAGTTGAGAAATGGATTTAGACACATGAAAACTAATTCCGTCACAACTTGAATTGGACACACACAGATCGTTCCAAGCTGTGTACAAAAATTAAAAATTGCTTAATTAAAAGCTTAATAGTTGTTAATTAAAAGCATAATTAAGTAGTGTTCAATATTCATTAGTGTTCTAATTCAAAGCCGTGTTGTATTCCAATACAGCTCACACAGCAAACAAAATTCGAACATGTGGATGACGGCATTACGTATCAGTAGAATTTGAAGCGCGGACGGAATACGCCTCACCACGTGCCAAATATAGCCACACAGTGACGGAATATAGGGATTTGGTAGGTTTGCATTCTAAAGGCTTTTAAATAAATATGGCAACAGTTTGTGACGTTTTGTCGTTGCTGACGCGTAGTGCGGTGTTTTGAGAGTCACATAAAGCAAACGGAACTTGAGTAACGCATACGGTTATTTTTTTATAGTTTTTCATTTCTTTATGTGTCCTTAATGTGACGGTATATACCACGTTTACCCTATATTAATATTATTATTAATCCAAATATTAATAATTATGATACCGTGATACGGTAATACTATTTGCAAAAATCTCACTGCTCTAAAGTGAGTCTAAATTCCACAGAATAGTTAGTTAGTTTAGTGGCCAAATGTTTACTAGCGCTTCAGCTATTTAGCTACTCCTTAGAATAAAGATGGTACTATAATATAGGGTGACTTGGACCATTTTGACATTTAAAAAAAAGTTAAGACCTAGGTACTCAAAAGGTTCTTGCTTTAGAAAAATTCTGTTGATGGCTCTTCAAGACAGGTTCAAGTACCTACTAGGCTACCATAAGATAGTAACCTACAGGCTACAGCTACAAATGCAATAAAGAATGTTCAATACATTTACTATATGACTATTTATTTCACAAAAAATGACAAAAAAATTTCACATTTTTCAACTATTTGACAGAATGACCCCTAATTTCGATACATTACACTACAAGCCTTCCAGTTTCATGTATTAAAGCCAACCTAAGGCAATTGTGATAGTTAAGAAATGGAGGCAACCGGAAAAGCCCCCCATTTCCCGACCTTGATTTTTTTGGTGGTCGCGGGTTGTAGGTGAAAAAGAAGTTGCACGTTGACCGCTTGTAACACCTGGACTCAGCAATAGTTATTTAGTTGAAGTCTTCAGCGTGTTTCTCTCAATTTCCTTTTCTTCTTTGCTGGCATGAGCTCTCCTTGTTATCAACAATTCTCTTGTTTAGGGCAAATCACAGTTTAATCCAGTGCATTTTACCAGCTACATAGTAGATAATCAACCGGTTTGCATGAGGTATGTGGTGGTTGCTCTCATTATGTGGTGCTGAACTCTTCTGGGATAGTTTCCTCCACCAAGGAGCACATGCACAGATGTGAGAGGGACTCCCAGGGCATGCACACTTGATATCATCACCTGTCTCATGATCATATAGTGTACATGAAAGGAGGAAGTGTTCAATTGACTCTTCAACCCCACAGTGCAGGCACATGGGAGTGTCAGCCATGCCAAATCGATGAAGATAAGAACGAAACCCAACGTGGCCAAGACGAAGGCGGGTTAAAACCACTGCTGCACGACGAGAACGGCAAGCAACCCATGGGACAGGAGACATCCCGGACCGAATGGAAGCTAGATGGTGGCCCCTTCCATCAGTAGCCACTGTAGTAACCCAATTCAGTTCCCAAAAACGAAGAAAGTGTGACCGAAGACCAGCAAGAGCATCTGAGCAAGGTAGAGGAAACAAGGCAGAGTGGTCAAGGCGATGTCCCAGTTTGGCAACTGCATCAGCACGCTCATTACCAATAATACCAATGGGAGCCTTGACCCACTGTAGATGCACGATCTTTGAGTCGTTTAGCCGTATGAGTAGCTCACATATGCCATAGACCAGATCAGAGCAAGTATTGGTGGGATATAGCAAAAGTTGCAAAGCTACAAGAGAGTCAGAACATATTACCCATTGAAGGAAGGAGTCCGCTTCAATCAGTCGCAAGGCCTGCAAAATTGCAATTAGTTTAGCAGAAAGACACTGTGATGTGGATTCAACCGCCATGCAACTGCTTGCCTCACAGATGGAACATAAAGACCACAAGCAACAGACGGACCATCAATCAGACGCGAGCCATCACAATAAACTGCCCTGTGACTAGGGTATTTCTCATCCAGATGAGCTGCAAAAAGAGAAGGAGTGGCAACCTCAGAACCCGATTGGAAGTCAAGACAAATTAGAGAAGACAAACTACACCAAGGAGGAATCAGATCAAACACAGGAGTGGGATGCCTACGACAAGGAGGAAGATCCAGCTCATTCAATATCTGTGGGCCATACTGTAGAGCTGAGGGTGTATCACTAAGAGCAATTTCAGAGGTTCTATCTCCAATTGGATGATATTTTAGGCGTACATACATGCTGGCAACCAGATAGCAGCGTCTCAAACTTAATGGAGGAATTTGAGCTTCTACCTGGAGAGACACTAGCACTACGGGTGTTGTCCGTCGAGCTCCAAGGACAAGACGAAGACAGGCATTCTGCAAGACTTCCAGCTTTTTCAACTGGGCAGATGAAGCTGTTCCATACAGAACACTACCATAGTCTATCTTGGCTCTAATGTAGGCACAGTAGAATAGGCGCAAGAACCGGGAACTTGCACCCCAGTTTGGAGAAGCCATATGTTTTAGCAAATCCATACGTCTCATCACATCTACACGCAGAGAAGTGAGGTGAGGGACCCAATTGAGCCGCAGGGCATCAAGCATCACTCCAAGCAGCTTGTGTTGATGCCTGTATGTGATAGGTTGATGATTATATCTCAGTACTGGAACATTCACTCGTTTAGCCCTAAAATACTGGAAAACTGTTTTTTGGGTATTCACAACTCAGCCCCATGTTGTGCAGTATGAATGAAACTCATTCAAGTATCTCTGCATGAGAGATTTTGCGTCATGCATGGTTGGGCCACGGCAACAGATGGTGATATCGTCTGCATAAAGCAACACCTCTATGCCGGCAAGCTGCGGAGTATCCATTAGCATAAGATTATAGAGGAGGGGACTCAGCACAGCACCTTGAGGCACCTCTGCCAGCATGGGAAGTGCCTCTGACAGCACCCCATTCACTCTAACACGGGCAGTTCGGGAATTCAGGTAAGCATGAAGCCATCGTGACAGGGCTCCACCTATTCCAGCTCGTGCCAGCTTATAGAGAAGTCCATCAATCCATACTTTGTCAAACACCCCCTACAGATCTATATAAACAACCAAACACACTTCAGATGCTGCTTGTGCAGTACGTATCTGACTCTCTAGTCTAATGAGAACGTCCATAGTGCTCTTCTGTCGACGAAATCCACATTGACTTGATGACAGGAGTTTCTTGCGATCCACTATGTACTCAAGACGTGCAGCAACAAGTCGTTCTAGCAGCTTTCCAAGACATGAGAGTAGGGTTATTGGTCGGTAGGATGAAGGATGGCTGGGATCTTTGCCAGGCTTCAAAATGGGGAGAACAACTCCCTCTTTCCAGGATGAAGGCAGCATACCAAGTTGAAAGCTTTGATTGAACAGAGTCAAAAGAGATTCATGGTGCTCACGTTCTAGTGCTTTCAGGAAGCCATTATGGATGCTATCTCCACCAGGTGAGGTCATCCGCATGCATCTCACAGCTCTTTTCAGCTCATCCTTTGTGAATGGACAGTCACATTCCCCACACTCAGCCCAGCTACCGATAATTAGATTGTGCAAGTTTGCTGGAGCTCGAATCTGACCACTTTGCCCACAATCCTGGAAGGTCTGACAAAACAAATTGGCCTTGGCAAGAGTGGTGTGAAGTAGATTTCCATCATCCGCTAAAGGGTAGGCAGGCATTACACAACGGGATCGCAGCAATCATACCTTTCTCCATGCCACCCCAATGGAAGTGGTGTATGTGATTTTAGAGAGAAATTCCTGCTTGTAAGAGCGTTTACGCTTAAGAACACAATTTCGAGCTATTGCTTGGCAACGCTTGTACTCAATGAGGTTAGCCTGTGTTGGATGTTTTTCCAAGGCTCTACGAGCTTGGTGCCTATTTCTCACTGCCTCTCCACAGGCTTCATCCCACCAAGGAGAGGTTAGGCGCTCTGAACGCTTCCCAGTCGACTGGGGGATGCAGGCAAATGCTGTGCAGATGATGCAGGAGGTAGTAACATCTGCTACAAATTCTTCTACTGATACTGAGTGTACCAGAGAAGAGGGAGCAACACTTCTAGAAAGCGTTCTCAAATTCTCATCTGTAATCTTCCATCGAGGAACTGGCATTGATGAAAGAAGATGAAGAGGTATAACTGAGGATGCAGAAATAGGGTAATGATCACTTTCAACATCTCTGAGATGGTCTAAATGAAAGTATGGAGAAACATCAGATGAAATAAGAAATAAATCCAAGCAGCTACCCCTTCCTGTTTGCCTGTCAATGTAAGTA